TATTCGACTATAACAAGGCGCTGCCTTAAAATTACACAGTTTTATCTGACATTTTAGCCGTTTCGAGTTTCAAAACCATGGGGTCAACCTTATCAAAACCATAACTTATTCGGTGTCGTTATCAAGATATTCAAGGAATAAATAATTGCATTCGGAAAACCTTGAAATTATTGTGAATCTTAAAAATTTTGACGTCAAATTTCTCAAAACTAGGTACTGAGCAGATAGGACTTTGTAATTCTAAGGTAGCGTCGTGTTTTGTCCTTCAATTGGTGCCCCCCCCCCCCCCATGGTGGGAACGCTCCGCACCAAAGTTTTCATAATAGAAAGCCAATAGCGTCGGCCATGGCAGTATACGGTCTAGGATATTATAATTCAAGTCTATGGGTTTTCCTTGCTGAAAAGAATGCCGATCTCTTTTCCAGAGTAATCCCATAGATATTCCTCTTCTTACATTACAGGGATAAGTAAAACGCCCCTTACATTTTGTGAGGAATCTAGTTTGTCTTGGGACTCAGGTGCTTGTGTTTGTGTGTGTGTGTGTGTGTGTGTGTGTGTGTGTGTGTGTGTGTGTGTGTGTGTGTGTGTGTTGTAATCGAGTAGCCGTGGCTAATCTGCAGCAAGTACGAGCTATGTTGTTCTCACTTTCGTTCTGTTACATAATACATGTAATAACTTTCGAATAGACCCACGTTATAGGCCTGCTACACCGGTACCAAAGTAACCCTATCCGTAGGCCTACGTCGTGTTTTACTTTCGTATCCATGCGACGTGGGGAACTCTGTGCCACCACTTTCCAAAGAGGAAATTTACTCGTTAATCCGATCCGTACGCTTTGCATAGCAGTAGCAGTCTGTCAAAATGATTATTTGAGAAATACTGAAAGTTTCATAGAGATCTTCGCACTAGAAGTATTCTAAATTATGAAGAATACAACCCTGGGGGTACAAAATGACCCCATCACGTACGGATAGGGTTAAGTACATCAAACCAAGGGAGGGGAAAGGTGGCGAGATTTGAGGGGGGGGGGCATTCGCCTAGCCATCCCAATCCCACCCCACCCCCCTAAAAATGTTTTAAACCTGCTGCTCAACATCCAGTTGTGTTTCAAACTTAAAGCCTGTCCAATCATTCGTTCATGTCTACACTTAAGCTCGCTCAAAAACAAATATTAAGAAGTGTTTCTTTCTTTCTCTCATGCTTAAAGTTCACTCATTCGGTTTAATGGACGATCATCTCCCACTCACCCCTCACATATTATTATAATAATAAAATTAATATAGTTCTAAGACTGTTGATACCAAAATTAAATACTACCAGTTATTAATCTAAATAACTATTCTTACTCGCTTATTATACTCTTTTGGGGTGAATAAATGACACGTATTGTAACAACAGGTGCCGATAAGGATTATACGACTAGGCCTACTATAACTTATAGTAACCTAATTAATCCAGACCTGTCATGATAATTATAATAAGGGGCGAAGGCTGACTTGTTTGACAGGGTAATCAAAGTGAAATGGGACCAGATAGGGCCTGGAGATATCACACTCACACAAGTCACAAGAATCTTACTGGCACTGGAGGCGGCAACTCTGAGTTGTGAATGAAAACAAATCCTGAAT